ATGTCGGTCAAAATCATACTCTTCCTTCTCTTTGTTATCTGAACTTCCAACATCCGTTAGCTGTTTAAACAGTGTTGCCTTCATATATACAAATGAATAGCATTAATATACAAATGCATGCTATTCACAGTTTATTTATAAAGCATAGCTTATGCTTATCAAAAAAGATCTGCCAAAATTCTAATTGACAGTAGTCTTCTAAAGATTGCGAACTATGACAGATAGCAAAGTTGTTATAGAAAAAGCATACAACATATTCTCAGAAAAGGCAGAAGCAAAAAATGCATAGAGATCCAAAAGGGGCAAAAGATGCTCACTGTTGCTCTATTTTCATCCTTGTTAAAACTAGCTCTACGATCATCCTGTTGGTCCTTTGAAAGAGTTGATGCCGAAACAGGACGCACAACCGATGCAGCAGGCACAGATCTAATTGTCCGAACAGCTTGATCATGTAGCCTCGCAACTGCATCACAATTAGACAATGAGTCTGGAAAGATGATAATGTTCTCCAAATTTGCCTAAAGCAAACAGCGGCCTGTAGATTTCACACTCTCAGAAGCAACTCAAAATACGATCACCATGTGATAATGCCTGTAGATTAAGTAAATAAGCATGCGTAGAGAACAAATTGCACAAGGACACAAGAAACAGGATTTGAATCCAAGACATGAGTACAGAGTAACAAAAAGAAGAAGGAATTGCTGCGAACCTGAACCGAAGGAAGGATTCCTAATGTATGTTCTTGCTTGCTTGGGCGGAGGTGATGGAGAAAGGAGCCTCGTACCAGCTTCCATCTTCTCCTTGATTCGAACTCGAAAGGGTTTCTTGCGCTGTGTGTGTGTGTGTGGGAATGTGGGAAGAAAGTCGAAGCATCTAATTACAAAAATGTCCTCTTGCAAGATCTGAGGACGGCGACGGTCGGATTTCGTGGATCGATTTGCCACACACATGGCGGCTTCCCATTGGATGTCTCTGATAAGCTGGATCTCGAAGACGAACCCCAATCTCACGTTCGATGGATGATGACGTCATCGCTTATATCCAATAAACGTCGAGCGATGGGATATCCACGACAACATCCACCGAGCCAAAGTGTGATTACATACACCATGTAAATTATATACGTCTACATGTGTATACATACATACATACGCACATACGTATATATATGTATAGGTATAACTTTGATTTATGTTGTTGGTATGTATAGTTTGCACAGTACATATTTCTTCATCCAAGCCAAGAAGGCTTCGAATGTACTGACACAATCAGCAAGCCTGAAAGAAGCAGTCTCACATTAGCTGCATATATTGTCCAAAGAACCAAATCCATCAGTGCATATTATAATCAGACTGATGATTGAATTATGATACAGATATTTCAGTTTCAATATGACTAGAGAATCACAAGATTGCAATAGCAGAGTTTAGACTGGATCATATCAAACACAGTAGTAGATACTAATTCGTTTGTAATTTTTGGAAATGATAAATAGGGATCATCTTTTTCCCCAAAACATAAATCCACAGCCAGTTTGTGAATTCTGCATTTACACAGCCGCAGAAATATTTATTGCCACACCGTCATACAAAACATAAAATCGAATACAAACCTAGACGCGCATCGTATTTGCGTTGTCTTGTTGCTACAAATCACCAATCTTTCAAGTATCAGAATCATCATCCATGCCCCGCAGGAATGCATTGGTATAACTAGCTATTCCCGCTTTCAAGCATGTGGTACTCATTAACCTACTGTCTTTATGATCCTAAGAGCCTTATTGGCCATCCATGCCATGGCACAACCATTTCACTTATTATACCTTCAGATCACTAATCCTAGTCTTCAAGTCCATTCCTCTTCCTTCTCGTTCTCGACAACTTCTTTCCTCGGGAAAATGACTCGAAGGATGCCGGAGGGTTCCATTTTCTGTACATACAATCCTTTGCACCATCCCTAACACGTCACTCATCTTTGGCCTCAACTTTGGGCTTCGCATTAGACACTTGTTTGCAACTGCAGACAATTCCATCGCCTGTTTTAAACAGTAATTATCGTCTATCTTTGGATCTACGATCAAGTGAAACTTCTTGGCATCGGATGTGTATGGTTTGACCCACTCCAATAGCTTCTGCTCTTTTCTCGGACGGTTCCTGTCCATTGGTTGACGGCCAGTGATTAGCTCATAAAGAACAACACCGTAGCTCCAGATATCACTCTTGGCTGTAAGGCGTCCGGTTTGTATGTACTCTGGTGCTGCATATCCCATAGTTCCAACAATCTGTTCCGTTTATGTTCGAGAGAATCAGATTAAATCTGAAGAACCGTCAATAGAGGGAAGCAATCATGCATAATTAAAAGCCTGATAGAGCACTCACTACCAATAAAAACCTTCATAAGTGGACATTATTAAAATTGAAATATGAATTAAATGAAACATATCCAAAATTTTATCCTAAGTTTTTTAATGCAGATGTTTTAATCTCCATGAAACAAACCATTAGATTATGCCTGTGTCCTGATGTCCAACTTTTGCAAGTCCATACAACCACCACCCGACACGAATCAAGTTATTTCCTCCAAATAGGTCAATCATGGCCATCCTGGGCAAGTCAAATCTAGGTTTACAAAGTTTTTTGACATGTTAATTGACACTTCAGTTGTGCACAACTTGGAAATGACAAAGGAAAGAATCAGACAATCTAGTGCCAAGTTTTGTTCAGCATTTCACTGTGGACGACACATCATCCACAAAGGAACAGGTATGCAGTAATAGCCATGCTTGCAGAATATCCTGGTGGAGCATTTCCCAAATGCTCCATTCTTGTTGCAAGACTATTTCAATGAGCCATTTCTCTAGGCCATTCTTTCAGCCCTCTTTTTGGACTTCCTACAACTCTCATTTTTCCTGAAATCTGGTACTCTAAATATGATATAAAGGGTAATAAAAAGTGGGCCTTGTGCCGCTAACAAAGAAAAATGTTTCGTAGATTTAAACTCATTGTTCATGTTTCATCATGAACATATGAAAAGTGGTCGTCGACTAGGATCAGGTGCCCTTCCCCTGTAGACTACCTTGATTGAGATCTTGCTAAAACTTCCTTAAATATCTGAACAAATGCAGAAATAATCACATAAAAAGCCTTAGATGGCAACTGTGAAAGCTCAACAAAACTGGGATGAAAAGTTCAAGAAGCAAGATCTTAGTGTTAACATTGTACAAGATATACTACAATGACAAGTTATCTAAATGTAATGAAATTGTGCATACCGCTGTTGAAACATGACTTAACCCATCTGTTGGTCCTTGTCTAGCCAAACCAAAGTCAGATAATTTTGCATTCCAGTGTGCATCCAAGAGGATGTTAGATGTCTTTAGATCTCGAAAAATTATCTGTACATCATGAATTCAGTATTAAGCAAGTGTTGTAGGGGCAATGAGTATCTTCTTTAGTAACAAATGACAATGGTAAGATGGACATAACCAAATGAATACCAAAAATTGATGTTTCTTCTTCAGTGGCTTGTACTAAACAAGTAACAAACATGTTGGACTTTGGGTCACTATATTTGTATAGGCATAAGAAATAAACTACGGTGAGGTAAATGCAAGGAAGAAACATGCTTTATAAATTTACAGTATATAAGATCAAGGATATGACTGTTACTCTTGGTGCCCTGACTAATAAAGAATTGCTGCTAACCATTTATTTATTGCATTTGCTGAAGTATTATAAAGACAGTTCCTCAGAAATCTCAGAAGACAAATCTACATGAGTAGTTGTAGAGAAAATGCAAATGAAAAAAATATATATCCTCCAGTGACAATCACAACATCACACAGACAGAGAACCCATGGAGTTATATTGATATGAAGTCTTCCAACAATGCACTTCAATGATGCTCTTTAAAGAATGGAAGTTTTGACTTTACTGCTTGCATATT